ATGGGCCAGTCAGTTACCAACAGCAAGGCTACACCCTTGTAGCCCCCAAAGCCTTCCTACAAATGTCAATGTTGGGCCTACTTTGTGAGCCCTGCAGTTTATTTATGAACATGCAGTTTCTGCACTTCGACTAGTAACTTTTCCTTGGCCTTGAATTCCCCTGCTCTGGGAGTGTGCCCCCTCCCCTAATTTCTTTTATCTAGAATAAATTAATCCCACAAATCATTGCCTGCAGGAAGGCAAAGGGCATCACTATAAATCAGAGGCTGCTCTGGGTGGGCAGAGAGAAGCTATGAAAGGCAGGAAGACATAAAGTTGAAAAAGTGGGTTGGAGCCAACTGGGGGGCTGTGAGGCTGCAAAGGAAGGAGTCTGGATGTTCTGCTAAAGGCTGAGTGGGCTAGGGAAAGCTGAAAGGTCTTGAGCAGACTTATATTTCAGGATGATTGATCTGGTAAGAAGTGCACAGAGTGGATTGCTTGCAAGTCTTGGTGACTTGAATCTCTTCAGCTCACAAACACTGATTTAGTTTCTGCTGCATAGTGGGTATGAGGTTGAGCTGCAGAGGCAGCCAGGCAGGGCTCTGTACCGTGGAGTGTACAGTCCGGGTTCTGGTTGGCCATGCTGTCTGCCGCAGCAAAAGAAATGTGGGCTGAGTCAGTGCCACACAGATCAGTGGGGAGGTTAACACATGGGATCTCAAGCTGGACAGAGCCTAAGGAAGTGCTCACCTCCACTGTGACTTGCTCAGAGTTCACGTGGAGTTAGTTAAGCAGCCTGAGGCCGACCCCCTGCTCCTTCTGCAGTTCAGGGCTCCAGCCCCAGCTCAGGGGATGTGGAAGAGGTGTTGAGAGGGAGGCTGCCATTGTAAGGACAGCCACACCTAAGCCCTTCCCCAAGGGATTTGTACTGTAATTGGGTCATGTTATAGTAATACTTCGATTATTTCCTGTTGTTTTGTTTATTTTATGATGGTCCTCAGAGTTTTATTTAAAGATTTTCAATAGACACTTAAGATGTGTTGTCAAAACCAAAACCATAACCAGCCTCCTCTGCATCTTGCCTTTGGCTGCCATTTCATTTTGGGTACAAACCATTCAATATTGAATGACCATAACGGCCTTGCAGAGTGAGTGGAGAGGGTTGGATTGCAATCTTAACACCTTTATTCCATGTTCAGCTGTCTGGCCCTTGCCCCTGAGACCTGGGTATGTCTCTGTGAATCCAGGAAGGAGAGGCATACAGGCCCTGTGGAACCTTTTTTGACTTGGCATTGCAAAGTCCACATGGTGACCTTCCTGTCAGCCTGTTGCTGGGTTGACAGTCATGCTTATCCAAAGACTCCTCATGGAAGGCCACTGTACTTTGCAAGATGACCACCAGAAAATATATTGGGACCAGAATTGACCTAGGCATCATCTAATCCAAGCCACTTATTTAATAGATTAAAACCAATGATAATGGAATGAAGAGTGATACAATCGTGAATTGTGGATTATGGAAAGATTAGGAAAAAAACCCACTTTGCTGTGTTGAATTGGAGGCATCGGAATGCACTCATGTTAAATACAGAGCTGTGTCCCATCAATGGGCTGAGAAGCAGTGACAGTCCAGCAGTGATGAACACACCTCACACCAAGATCTTGGTTTCTAAATGCCAATTTTTGCTAAAGGGAATCAAGGTCTGGGTTTAGAAAGTACAAGAGGAGACTGGAAGATCTTATTTTGCCAGGAAGCAAGGAGGTACCCCAAAACTGAAAACTATATGTCACAGGAACACAAGGGGCATTCTCTCACCCAAAATGGAGCTCCCCCAGACAAATTGGGGATGACTTGGGCATCAAAAAATAATGATACTTGGGAAAAAAAGAATCCATGTGTCCATAGTGATACTTAAAGAGGTGAGGAGGCAATGCTTTTCTGTACAGAAGAATGCCAGGTAATACATGTAGAAGGAAAGGTAGCTTTAGCAAAACTTCCTCTTTGCAACCACCATTGTACTAATTGATTCAGGCCAGGATCAGCAAGGGATGCTAAACCCACTGGGCAAAAGGATGTAGAAACACAGAATAGTCACATAATCTCAGAATATCACCCCACAGATTGTTTACTAATCACAAAGGGTGTAATGTTAACCTTTACAAAGGAGGGACTGACAGACACCACCTTAACCAAGAGACCAAACAGGGCACCACCTGTAGCAGGAATACCTGACATCAGGTGCTCCGGGTGGGATTCGGTGGGAACCACTCAACTGGACTCTAAGGTTGTTGCCCAAAATAGCTAACTTTAATCTAAACTTTGGGGAAAAATTGAGTAAATTCAGATTATGCGATATTCTATAAGACAGGCAGTGAAACACACCAGCATCTGCCCCCTGATGAAGAGGCTGAAAGTTCCAGGACTTAATGCAATGACGATGTTTAAAAAAAAAAAAAAAAGGCATTAAAAGGTGTGGAAACTCTTTTAGATAAAAGAAAAGTAAAGTAACATGACAATGTAACGCAGTGTGGGATTGCAATGTCATGCAATTGTGATGGGATCCCGGATCAGGACACAAAATAGTTATAAACCACATTTCTGGGATAGTTGAGAATATTTGAACATGGGCTGTGAACTTAATATCGTATTGATGTTACACTTATTGAAAATGATAATTATATGGCTGTCATGTATAAAAATATTATTATTATTCAGGGATACATGCTGAAGTATTTACGGGTGAAGCAGCACAATAATCATTTACTGGCAAATGATTCATCAAAATGTAAAAAGCGTGTGTATTTGTGTGGAGAGAGAGAAGCAAAAGCCAATGTGACAGCGTTTGAACAATCAGTGAGTCGAGGTGGAGAGTGCACTGTGACCTAGTGCAACTTTTCTGAAGTTTAAAATTTTTTCAAAATAAAAAAATGTAGGGAGTAAAACAGTAACAATGAAACAGGCCCAGGGCAAGTGAGTGACTTGTCTAAAAAAATCAACTCAGAATCTACTCTCCTGACCTTAGATCCAGTGCTGCCCGTCCGTTTTCATCTATGTGAACAGAGAGAGAGAGAGAGAGAGAGCCGGCAGGAGACGCAGAGAGAGAGCGACAGAGAGAGAGAGAGCAACAGAGAGAGAGAGAGAGAGAGAGAGAGCGAGAGCGAGCGAGAGAGCGCGCAAGCGCGACAGAGTCCCTCATTCTCCTGGTTCAAAGACGGGAGCTTTGAGAGGGTGTAGACCCACTCTTTCCAAACTCCTGGAGGTGGCGAAGGGGGATCTAAAGACAGGCGCTCATCGCCATCTAGTGGCCAAATAAGGATGCCTGTCAACTGCCGCCAGTTTTTGAGAGGAATTTATCTCACATTGTTGGGACCTTTCCCGCAGCCTCTGCTTGTTACATTTTCCTATTTGCGAAGCAGTAATTTTTGTTTATATTTCTGCTCCTCTAATTTTCCAATACGGATTTCCAGTTGCTTCGAAGAAACAGACCCAAAAGCAGATTTCCTCTCCCCAGAAACCTGACTGAGCCCAATATTCTTCGATAATCAAGAAGAAAGAGAAAAGTCCCGCTCCGATATATTTCACCAGGTCCCTTTGACCATCTCATGTCAGCAAACCGCTGGCCCTTCTGACTCCCTCTTGTGGAAATAAAGGAAGACCAATGAGAAATGAGAGGAGCAAAGGCAATTTATCTAGCAGGACTTCAACAGCAAGGGCGTCAGCCACCATCACTTGCATGTGGCAGAGACCCACAGGCTGGCAGAGGAGTGGGAGCTTTCTAGTGGGACAAAGGGAAGGCCTCGGGTGCGTCCTGCCTGGAGGTTGTTGGTGTGGGGAAGCTGGGGGGCACGCTGCAGGTTGGGCATCCTATGGGATTGGTAGGGGAGCAAAGTTGGCTCTCTCAGGTTGGTCCTAAATGGAAAGTGAGGACAAAAATTAGAGAATCTGTCAGTTATTAACCAAGTCCTGGCCATTTTAGACTGACTTTTACGGAAATGATGATTTAGCTTCCTGAGTTGTTACTAGAATAAGAAGTGGCTCATGCCTGTAATTGCAGCACTTTGGGAGGCCAAGGTGGGTGGATTGCCTGAGGTCAGGAGTTCGAGACCAGCCTGAGTTTGACCAACATGGTGAAACACTGTCTCTACTAAAAATACAAAAATTAGCCGTGAGTGGTGGTGCACGCCGGTAGTCCCAGCTACTGAGGAGGCTGAGGCAGGAGAATTGCTTGAACTTGGGAAGCAGAGGTTACAGTGAGCCGAGATCTCACCACTGCACTCCAGTCAGGGCAACAGAACAAGACTCCATCTCAAAAAAAAAAAAAAAAGGAAGAAGCAGCAGCAGCAGCTGGCTTCTTGCACCTCTGTCTTACAGGAGACTGGCTTCCTGGGCTATTTACTATCAATAAAGAGGTTGGTTTCCCAGGCAGATCACTGTAGGTTGTGGGTCAGAGTTCTATTTTTTATATATTGTGTGGCCATCGTCTGTTTGTATATCAGGCTCACTCTGGAAGCAGCCCGTCCACCAAGCACCCTGGCGCGGTGCAGGCAGCTGCAGGCGGCAGCTCCTCTAATCACAGGAAAGGGAGCCTTGAAGGGAGGTCAGAGACTTGAGTTTGGGTGTTCAGCTTTATTCTCCAGTCTGGGGGAGGCGCCTGTAAGCTTCAGTGGTCTCCTCTATATGTGAGCAATTTCTGCTGCGCTTCCTCCCTCCCCGTGAGCCGCCTCTTAAGGGGTGGCACTGAGCTCACGCCCACCAGCTCCCTCTGGAGGTTGGAAGGTGACTTGCAGGAGCTGTGCACAGATTGCCTGTAAGATGCAGGTGCAGATGGGAACAAGTAGCTCTTCTGCGCCCAATACCATGGCAGGTACTGGAGGCTGAGAAGGACATGTGCAGGCCTCTTGGGACTCCGGCTGGAGCAGGCACACAGATGTGCACTTGCATTAACCCTTACTTTATTCCAAGCCCATGTGGGCCCTGAACTCACCCTCCACATGTTCTTTTCCCTTCTCTCCACCACCAGGCGCTCCGTGTGAAATGGTCCCATCTCAGATTGCCCTGGGTAGACCTAGACTGGCTCATAGACATCTCCTGCCAGATCACGGAGCTCGACCTTTCTGCCAACTGCCTGGCGACCCTCCCCTCGGTTATCCCCTGGGGCCTCATCAACCTCCGGAAGCTGAACCTCTCGCACAACCACCTGGGGGAGCTGCCTGGCGTGCAGTCATCGGATGAAATCATCTGTTCCAGGTGGCTCCCCGGGGTGTGAACGGAGCCGTGTGTGACCCCACTGTCACCGTTGTGCTCCTGCACATACTCCCGGGTTGTATTTTGCGGTTTGGGGGGGAAAATATTCTGGCTAAAATAGGAGAAGGAATTTTGCCTGCCCTTCGGCAAGCCTCCTTTTCAGGTTAAAACAGAGGTTTAGAGAGATCATTTGTCTGGCCCAAGTTTACACAGCTCACCTGCGGACGTGCAAATGTTTCCCTGAGATGCTCGTCTCGGTCCTGCCCAGGAATCAGATGAGGGCAGCCAAACCTTCCCATGCTGGTGGATGCAATGGGGCTCTGAGGCACCAGCTTTTACTCTACCTTCCAGGGAAAGTGGGAAGGGCCTCAGAGAACAGGTTAACTCCGCAGGACTCCGGCAGCAGGTGGACAGTGTGGGCAGTCCAGGTTTGCTTCTTCTGGAGGCCTTGAGGGGAGACCTGAGCCTTACCCTTGAGCTTGCATGGAAAGAGGAAGGACCTTAGTTGATATTTTTATTTATTTTATTTATTTATTTATTTTTTTGAGATGGAGTTTCACTCTCTTGCGCGGCTGGAGTGCAGTGGCGCGATCTTGGCTCACTGCAACATCCAACTCCCTGGTTCAAAGGATTCTCCTGTCTCAGCCTCCCGAATAGCTGGGATTACAGGCATACGCCACCACACCCAGCTAGTTTTTGTATTTTTAGCAGAGACGAGTTTTCACCATGTTGGCCAGGATGGTCTCGACCTCCTGACCTCGTGATCCGCCTGCCTCGGCCTCCCAAAGTGCTGAGATTACAGGCATGAGTCACTGCACCCAGCCTACTTTCTTCAGGACACATAACTGCAAGTCCTCATTCCATAAAGGGGTTGAATTGATTTTTAAAACGAAGGCTCTAAGTGAAGTAAGAGTCAAGAATGTTGGAAAGAGCTTGGGGTAGAAAGTAACCCATGGGGCTCCCAAGTGAGAACGGGAAGGAAGCCTACACACCAGAACTTAAAGAGCAAGTGCCGTCCAAGTGGGGCCCTTCACCTGGGCCAGATGAACAGGTCCAGAAGGTTAAAAGCCCGGCTCTGTGGTCTCAGCAGCTTTCAGGGAACCCACTCATTTTGCTATTACATGCATGCGAAGGGTTAGAATCCCTGTTGGCTAGCGGGGCCAGGGCCCACTAATGAGAGATTTGTCTTTACCTACACAGGACACAGTAAGATTTCTTCAAATGAATTAAAAATCATATGCACTACATTTTCAATGCACACTCTTTAACCTTGCACAGAGAGAAAAAGAAAAAAAAATACATCTCTTGGTTTATAGAAAAATATGTAAATTTGGTGTTTTCCCTCTTTCTTCTGATGCCTGCCTTCCTTCTTCTCCGTCCCAGGCTACTTGAAATTGACATTTCCAGCAACAAGTTGTCCCACCTCCCTCCTGGATTCTTGCACCTCTCAAAACTTCAAAAACTGACAGCTTCAAAAAATTGTTTAGAAAAATTGTTCGAAGAAGAAAATGGTATGTTTTCTCATCAATGACCTGAGTGAATTAGTCATTTTCTTCTTGGTTAGGGATATTTTTACCAATTCATACTTTGTGTCTTTTTTTTTTAAGCCACTAACTGGATCGGTTTACGGAAGCTACAGGAACTTGATATATCTGACAATAAATTGACAGAACTCCCTGCCCTGTTCCTTCACTCTTTCAAGTCCCTCAATTCTCTGAATGTCTCCAGAAACAACCTGAAGGTGTTTCCAGATCCCTGGGCCTGCCCTTTGGTGAGTATCACACCAAAAGTCATGAAAGCCACAGTCAACTCTGCATCTCAGCTAGCCTCAGAGAGCCCTCAGGTGCATTACGTCAGTTCATCCCCTCGGCAGCCAAGCCAGGTAGCAGGACCTGGTTCCCACATTGTAGCATTGTCACTCAGCATACAGTGAGGCTAAGTGTCCTAGGCAAGTGACTCACCTGAAAGCCAGACTGCCTGGCTCTGGGTTCAAGAGCCATCCAACAACACCCACAGAACTTTACCCAGAGACAGCTTGCACCCTGGCACTGGACTAGTCATGCCTGAAAAAGGAGGGTTCAGTTCTTTGGGGACAACTATCACATGAGAGTAAGAAATCAGACTGGGCACGATGACTCACGCCTGTAATCCCAGCACTTTGGGAGGCAGGTGGATCACGAGGTCAGGAGATCAAGACCATCCTGGCCAACACAGTGAAACTCCATCTCTACAAAAATACAAAAAAAAAAAAAAATTATCTGGGCGTGGTAGCGTGTACCTGTAGTCCTAGCTACTCAGGAGGCTGAGGGAAGGGAATTGCTTGAACCGGGGAGGCAGAGGTTGCAGTGAGCCAAGATTGCACCATTGCACTCCAGTCTGGCGACAGAGCGAGACTCCATCTCAAAAAAAAAAGAGTAAGAAATCACCAATCACAGCACTTCTGATTAAATGGTATTTTTGCCTCTGGGGAATTTTGCTTGTTAAAACAGATGGAACAGCATAAAGAGTGTGTGTGTGTGTGTGTGTGTGTGTTATGGCTGTTGGTTTTAAACCAACAGTAAATGTCATCACTGACATTAACATTCCTAGTTTGGCCATTTATGTAGGGGAAACCAGCTTCTCACTCCCGTGTGGTCCTGAATTGTTCCATTATTTCCAAGGACAATGGGCCGGATGTTCTGGAATGAAGGAAAAAGACCATGAGCTCCCCCAGGAAACCCCATTCCTGTCCCTTCCTTGGACCAGGGGTGGAAGGACAGGGACAGTGAGGGTGTGCAGCCTTCCGACAACACTCAATCATCTTCATTACAGGACATTATTGTAATGGTCCATTTTTAACATCAAATTTGGAAACAGTCTCACAGGCACCACTGCATTTAAAGAGCTAACTAAGATACTTTTTTTTTTTTTTTCTCTCGTCAATCTCTTAGAAATGTTGCAAAGCTTCCAGAAATGCCCTGGAATGTCTGCCAGACAAAATGGCTGTCTTTTGGAAAAATCACCTGAAGGATGTGGATTTCTCAGAAAACTCACTCAAAGAAGTTCCCCTGGGACTTTTCCAACTCGATGTAAGCCTAATAGCCCTTTTTTCTCATTTTCAGCTTTTGAGAAAAAATTGCTCCATGTTGCAGTGAAATGTATGTGTTTTCCCTGAGCTTCTGAGACAAATGTAAGGGGAAAAGGTGAAGAAAAAGTTCAGCTATCAAAAATACACATGGCCATGAACAATGATGAGGGCGGAATATGGACAGCAGAAGCAGCTATGTTAGGTGGTAGTGGGGTTATAGTTCGTATCCCTTGGGACTTTCTTTAAGTCCATGGCCTGCCCATATATGAGGCTGAGTGGACACTGAGAGCTCCAGGAAGGGCCTTTCCACAGAGCCCTGTGTGCCTACCCAGAATAGGGGTGCTTTCTCACTTTAGGTGGTTTTAGGCGGTTGGCTGGTCCTTAGGCAGACAGGCCGTGGATCACACTCATTGCTTGGAGCTCAGGGCCAACCCCAGAAGGGGCCCCATCGGTACCTGCTAAAGGCATCAGGACAGTCTCACCAGGGCCCTGTGGTGGACCCCCAGGCAGAGTGCCCAGGCCACCCTGCACAGGCTTCAGCCCCCAGTCCTGCCAGGCCACTGCCAGGGCCCCCACGGGCACTCCTCCAAGGCCTGGTGCAGCGACCCCCACAAGGCAGCGAAGGCCCCTTCAGCATGTGTATCCTCAGAGACGAGGGGCTGTCATGTCCTAGGCTCCTGACAAGCACAGGGCAAAGTCGGGGACCCAGGGACGGGAATTTTCACTTCTCAGAAGAAAAGAGTCATGCGGGGGCGCCCTTTGGGGGGTCCCACATCATACTCCTCTCAGGGTATTCCTGGCCTTCAGTCCTTGTCCATAGCCCTTGGGCCCCTGTTCTGAGTCTGTCTTCTCGTATTTCACACCAACAACTAACAGGCTTGGTTTTTTGGCTTCCCCCAAAGCCCAGAAGCAGCAAATCAGGAGAGGCAGAGCCTTGTCCAGTGCTTCACCGTGGGCCTGTGGGAATGTGTCTGCTCGAGGTCTTTTTCTCCACACTGGGAAGGGGTGGATGGGTATGTGGGAGACTTGGAGGGCCCTGAGGCCTGGCACATGGCAGGGTCTCCATAGAATTTCAGCAGGTGGGGGCTGGTTGCAGTGGTTCTGATGGTGGGCGGTGGCGTGAGCCCCTTCAACAAGGAAGGAGACAGAAGCACCAGGAGGAGAGAATTTAATGTGGGGCAGCAAACAGCCTGTGGCCCTCCTGAGGTCACCCTGGTTGTGGGGGGGATAGTTGGTGGCTGTGGTGATGTCCTCAAGCAGGGAGATAGCATGTCTAAGGTACTCCTGTAAAGTAAAACATGGGCCAGGCATGATGGCTCAGACCTGGGCACGGTGACTCAGACCTGTACTGCCAGCACTTTGGGAGGCCAAAATGGGAGGACTGCTTGAGGCCAGGAGTTTGAGGCTGTAGCAAGCTATGATCACACCACTGCACTCCAGCGTAAGCAGCAGAGTGAGACCCTATCTCTAAAAAAGTAGATAAATAAAAAGAAATAATAACAAAAAAAGAATAAAACATGTTCAGGTACAAGGTAGCCCCTCATCTCCCTTGGTGACTGGGTTCCCTGTAGGGTCTGTTTGCAGTAGGGCTGAGGGAGGGCTACCCACAAGGGGCACCCCAGACACGCTGATAATCCTGAGGGGCCCAGCTTGGGACTCTGTTGGCTAGCAGAGGGCACAAGGCTAGGGCAGTTACCCTTAGTGGTGCTGCCACCCCTGTCCTCAGACCTGGGCCGGCCCAGGAGGCCACCCACCGGGAGGCGACAGACACCAGCACTGTGCTGTACGCCCCATGCCACCCCCACCAGCCGTGACCCGGTGTCCTCCAAACCATAAGAGTCTGGCACTTTCCCCGGAGAGACCCACCAATAATCAGCACTCTTAAGAATCCTTAACACTGACAGCTACTTGGGCTCCTTTCACTCTAGAATAATTGCCTCTCACTGCCTTTGAGGGAAGAGCTCCTGTAGATAGATGGCCCCGTTGCTCTGTTTGATATCATTTCATGAGTTTGAAGAGGCTGCGGAGCCCCACACAACTGGGATCTGCATGAAGGCAAATTGGTTGGAATCGTTTGACTGCACGTGGTCGGGAACTGACTGGCTCTTCAGTCTCCCCTCCCTTCTTGTATCTGATGCCATCTTAGCTTCTCTCTCCCTCCCTCTCTCTCTCAGGCCCTCACATTCTTGAGGTTACAAGGGAACCAGCTGGCAGCACTTCCACCTCAAGAAAAGTGGACCTGCAGGCAGCTCAAAACCCTGGATCTCTCCAGAAACCAACTTGGCAAGTAAGCAGGGGCCTCTCCTCCCCAAAGCGTGTATGGGGCCGCGGTCGAGCAGGTCCTCGGAATGGTGGCAAGCGAGTCTGCAAGGGCTGCTGAGCCACCAGCTGGGGGCTTAACAACAGAAATCACTGGCTCACAGCCCTGGGGGCTGAAGTCTGAGGTGGCGGCGTGGGCAGGCCTGGCTGGTGTCTCCTGAGGCCCCTCTCCTTAGCTTGCAGATGCCGTCTTCTCCCTGTGTTCTGGCGCGGTCGGGCCTCTGTTTGTGTCTGTGTCCTAATCTCCTCTTCTTATAAGGACACCAGTCGGATTGGATTAGAGTCCATCCTAATGACCTCATTTTAACTGAGTTACCTCTTTAACAGCCCTGTCTCCAAATACAGTCACATTCTGAGGAATTGGAGGTTAGAGCTTTGACATAGGAATTTGGGGGGACGCAGCCCATAATGGTGTCCTTTCATTTCTAATTTTTAGTCTCCTGGAGAATCTTGTCTCTCACTTCAGCCTGAACTGTAATTCTGTTCAGAAGTCTCTGCTGATCACTAACTAAAATGGATGCGTAATTGAATAAAAGCACCCAGCCCCAAAGCCTTCCAATAGGTGGAAAGCCAGGATGAGCCCAGCCAGCCTCTGGAAACCAGCCACCCCCATTCATTTGCAGAAGGCCACTCTGCAGTATCATGGTGGAACTTGCACGCCAAAGAGGACTTCTGCAGGGGGCAGTGTAAAAGGCAGCCGCCACTGCAACGTGCACCTCTGCCAGGCCCTAAGAGTTGCACCTGAATTTCCGTGGCTTGGCATTATAACATCGCAACCAAATGAGTAATGTTTTTGCCATGCTGTCCTCAAATTTTCTCTCTTTTTCCTCCGCACAGAAATGAAGATGGACTGAAAACAAAGCGTATTGCCTTTTTCACCACCAGAGGTCGCCAGCGCTCCGGGACTGAGGCAGGTGTGTGTTGGTTGGGAGATGCTGGTGTTCCCAAATGAGACAGCCCGGGTAGCCTGGTTCCTGCTCCACCAAAGAGGGGATCGCCCTTATCTTGAGCCTTCCCCTTCAATGCCCTGTTGCAATGCCACAGATGTCCATGTTCAAATGAGAACCCTGCACATGAGCTACGCCCATTCCTTCTGTCCCACGTGTGACACTCCAGTATCCTCAAGCCCTGCTCTCCTGCGTGGAGGCCAGTGATGCCAGCAGCTAACATATGCAGCTGATCTACACGCCAATCAGTGCCCTAGACAGGTTACGTATGTGAGAGTCTCTCATCCTCACAACGTGAAGTATGGGCCACAGTTCCCGATTTTGCACCTGGGGAAACTGAAGCTCCCAGGGTGTCTTAGCTCCGCTGCCATACCAAAGTACCATCGACCGAGTGCTTCAACAGCAGACACTTATTTTCTCAAAGTTCTGGAAGCTGGATATCTGACAGGAGGGTGCCAGCACTGTCAGGGGCTAGTGAGGGCCTTCTTCCTGGCGTCCTTCTCTCTGTGTCCTGAGATGGGGGAGAGAGCAAGGACTCTGGTCTCTCTTCCTCTTCTTTTTTTTTTTTTTTTTTTTTTTGAGACTAAGTCTCACTCTGTCACCCAGGCTGGAGTGCAGTGACGCGATCTCGGCTCCCTGCAACCTCCGCCTCCCAGGTTCAAGCTATTCTCCTGCTTCAGCCTCCTGAGTAGCTGGGATTATAGGCATGTGCCACCACACCTGGCTAATTTTTGTATTTTTGGAGATGAGCCACCGCACCCAGCCCCTCTTCTTATAAGAATGTTAATCTCATCATAGGGGCCCCACCCACATGACCTCATCTAAACCTAATTACAGCTCAAATATCCCATCTCCAAATAATAATTTTGTATTTTAATACAATATAGGATGCCAGGAAGAAGGCCCTTGCTAGCCCCTGACAGTGCTGGCGCCCTCCTCTCAGATATCCAGGGCTTCACCATGTTGGCCAGGCTGGTCTTGAACTCCTGACCTCAAGTGATCTGCCTGCCTTGGCCTCCCAAAGTGCTGGGATTACAGGCATGAGCCACCGCTCCTGGCCCCTCTTCTTATAAGAACGTTAATCTTATCATATGGGCCCCACCCTCATGACCTCATCTAAACCTAATTACAGCTCAAATAGCCCATCTCCAAATAGTGTCACATTGGGTATTAGAGCTTTGACATATGAATTTGGTGGGGGGCAGGGGACACAGTTCAATCCCTGGCATAGGGACTGACTGATTTGTCCCAGGTCGTGTGGCTGCTTCTCAGTAGCAAAGCCAGGTTTCATCCCAGGACTGTGGGACTTCAGCCCTGGACTAGCAGCTCAGTGCTGTTAAGTCTCTATTGACACACGATGGCATCTTGCAAAGCCCACATGGATCACGGCCACCTTTGGCCTCACAGGCTGAGGTGAGGCCGAGGTTGCACAGGGGCTTGTGGTCTTCCCCAAAACTCATCAGAGACAGAAATTTTCCTAGTTTTTGTGCTGGTCACACAACAAGGCCAGTTCAGCACAGAGTACATCTAGGGAAACAAGCTCTTTTAGTTCCATTATCTTCTGTGAGACGCAGGGGAAAGTATGGAGCTGTCCCTTTCATTAAACAACCAGCTCTGCTTCTTAACCTCAAAGCTACGACTTCCAAAGCCAGCTCCGTTCACAGAAATATCCCTCAGGATGCTGGCCCAGAAAACCAGAACCCATGTCCAAGTCGTTTTAAACATAATACAGCTTTCTTCTTCAGTTTGATAGATGGCTGTTGGCAAGTACGGATAGTGTGAGGTAGGGATGAGCGACGCCACAGAGGCGAGGACACATTTTCAAGAGGTGAACTAGGGAGTCTGCCACTGCTACGCTCTTGGATGAACTGGTGTGCTTGTGTGTTGAGTATGATACACATAGAGATCTGTCCCATAAGAGCATGTGTGTTTATATGTGACTGAAAAAGGAATATCAGTGGAACAGATAAAAGAGTTCAAAAATAGACCTAAGTAAATATAGAAATATATCAGGAGTCCCCAGCGCCCCCCAGGCAGCGAACCGGTATTGGTCCGTGGCCTGTTAGGAACCAGGCCACACAGCAGGAGGTGAGCGGTGGGCAAGTCAGCATTAGCTCCACTTCCTGTCAGATCAGCGTCAGCTTTAGATTCTCATAGGGGCGCGAACCCTATTGTGAACTGCGCGTGTGAGGGATCTAGGTTGTGCCCTCCTTATGAGAATCTAACTAACGCCTGATGATCTGAGGTTGAACAGTTTCATCTCTAAACCATCCCCTTCATCAGTGCTGCAGTCCATGGAAAAATTGTCTTCCGCAAAACCGGTCCCTGGTGCCAAAAAGATTGGGGACTATTATTATACAATATATGACAAAGACAGAATTTCAACTTAGTGTAAAAGGATGCTTGCTTGCTTTAATAAATGGTGTTGGTATTCCTGCCTGGAAGGGGGACAAAACACGACACTAGATTACAAAAATGTCTATGTGGTAGGAGGTTTAAGTATAAAAAAAAGAAAACAATAACATTTAAGGAATATAGGTATAATTTGGCTATGAGGGAGATCTTTAAAATCTAGTTGGAAAATCCATGAATACTTTTTTTAAAAGACTAAAATCGTTGCCTTCATAAACATTCAAAAATTGTGTGCAGTGGGAAGCATCATAAACAAAGTCATAATGCAAACAGACTAAGAAGAAATATTTGCAACACAAATAGTTGCAACACGAATTGGCTTAAGTCCTTCATATACAAAGAATGCTTACAAATTGATTTAAAAAAAAAAAAAAAAGACAACACAATAGGCAAAAAAATGGCCAAGGGATATAAACAATTTGCAGAAAAGGAAGTCCAGAGGGCCAGGAAACAAATGAAAATGTCCTTAACCACATGAATAGGGAAATGCAATTATGAATTTCATAACTGATCCTTTTATAAATGAAGGGCCTTAGGACTTTAGAAATTGAGTCCAGACATAGGGATTTCACTTGGAAGGAAGGGGAAACGAACACCGTCTTCTTCATGCCAGACAGGATGATGGGTATGAGAACAGGAGCTAGTGTAGGCCTCGTTCACGCAATCCACTTGTGTGGGTTAGAAACGTGTCTCCAACTTAGAAATGCCGAATCCTTCCTGGGACCACAGAGGAGTGTGCAAGGAAGTGGGCTCAGCACTCAATGAGACGCCAGAGGGGAAAGTCACGGGCAAGCATGGAAAAGCACCATAGGAGCATGCGCAGTACCAATGTTCCAGAAAATGACAGCTGGCGGCCCGCAGGAGGATGTCTGGGGAGCCACGTGAGGGGGCCGCGCCCCCGGGAGGTTCTCTGGCAGAGGTGAATCTTGGCTTTGGCAGATGACAAAAGCCTCTTGATTCTTTAAACTTCATCTAGAAAGTTGAGGCCCACACCTGAGTGAAAAGAAGGAGGCTGTTTGCAAACCCTTTTCCTCAGTAGGGTTATTCTCTCAGGGCCATGGACCCTTGGGTAAGGAATTATCTATAAAAGACAGCTTGTTTGCAGAAGGATAGTAAAATTCCAGGTAGATTTATGTACATTCAAGTAGTCATATTTGTGCAGTGGCCTCATCCAAAAATAATTTGGATGGCCGTTTTTACGGTAAAAATCAGACCAGCAGAGTCATAAATAACTTATGAATAAATAATTACAGTTCATAAATACCCCGAACTGTGTTCTCCCCAGCCCAGTGCCCATCATTTTCGACACTGGGCCGGGAGGTCTGTTACAGGTGTTGCCTCTGCAATCATAGCTCATTATTTCACCCGTCTCTTACCTAAAGAGGCTTCATAAACACCGTAGCGAAACTTTAAAATTGGAAAGCACAGAGGCCAGGTGTTTAGAATGTGTTCTCTGGGGAGAAAGTAAGCCTTTCTCGTTATTGATATTCTTTCATGAAAATGTGAATTAGGGCAGGCTAATATTGATCATCTTTTTTCACTGAAGAAAAAAAAAAAAGGAAGCTTTTTGAACATTTCCTTACCTAACAAGGACTCATACAAAGCCATCTTTAGAAGGCTGGTGCACCTTCATTTCCGCAGGGGCCCCTGCAGTGAGTTCCATTCACAGTGCAGCTAACTGGGCAGATTTTCCAGGCGTTGGTTTTGGTATTCCATTATCGGCTCTCCCTGAATGTTCTTGGAGGCCAGGTTACCCATTACCATTGTTATTGCAGCTACATGTGTGGAGGAAATCCAGAGCCAAGGCAGGGTAGCTATGATCAAGGGCAACCGAGCCTGGTTTCAGCCCAACAAAAGAATCCTGGCTTCTCCATTTTCCGTGTCTGGCAGGGAACCCTATGAGAGGGCTTTGAGGCAGTTGTTTTATCTTGAATTCTCTGAGCTCCCAGGCATGCTGTCCTCCCCGCTCTCCAGGCCTTAGTAGAGAGGATAAAGGCACTTCAGAGATTCTGCTGAAATCCAAACCTCTGATTCCCATCAGTGTGCGTTTCCAAGCTCTTTCTCAACTCAAATGCTCTGGTGCCCGTGGAAACAGCACATTTGACATGATTTTCATGGTAATCTCATAGTTAGCCTAATTAATAAAGTCACTTAAACACTAAACAGTTGGCTGGTTTTTCAAAGAATGTCATCTTAAGAAGCATAAAAATAGCCAACTGTAGTATATTTTCATTAACTAGCTTTTTTTCATGGAAAAAGCAATGCATGTATATTTTAAAACACCATTTTTGAACAGTAGCAAAGGGCATGGGGTAAATATTCAGTCCTCTAGTAATTCCTTTCCCCAGAGACAACTATGGAATTCAGTGCATCTCTGGTAACCATTGTGTTCCTGTCTAACAACTGAATGTAACTTATATGCATACACATGTGCAGGTGTGGTGTGTGTGTATATAACATATACATGGTGTGCATGTGTGTGCATGCATGTGTGCAGACATTTTCTGGTACAGTAATAAGCCTTCTAGATATCCAGTTCTGAACTATTTTTTTTTAGACGGAGTCTTGCTCTGTTTCCCAGGCTGGAGTGCAGCAGCACAATCTCGATTCACTGCAACCTCCTCCTCCCAGGTTCAAGCAATTCTCCTGCCTCAGCCTCCCAAGTTGCTGGGATTACAGGTGCCCACCACCACGCCCAGCTAATTTTTGTAACTTTAGTAGAGATAGAGTTTCACCATCTTGGCCAGTCTGGTCTTGAACTCCTGACTTCGTGATCCCCCTGCCTCGGCCTCCCAAAGTGCTGGGATTACAGGTGTGAGCCACCATGCCTGGAGCACCTTGCCTTTTCAATTGATGGGTAGCTCTTGAGTATCACTTCATACCCCCATACATGTAGACCTGCCCCATGCTTTGTAATAGCTGCAATTATTCTATTACTCATTGAACCAACCCTCTGTGGCTGGACACATAGGTTGTCGTAGATTGTCCTCTATCTCTGCCACTGAGTGTCCTCATTCTCACATCTTTGCCACACATGCATGTAAGGCTGTCTGTAGGATGAGAATTGCTAGGTCGATGAGGTGAGCATTTTGTTTTGATAGGTTTGCCAAAATGCCCTCTGGAGGTTGCATCCATTTATACACCCACCTGGTCACCATGCTGTGATGGTCCAAAATTATTTTTAAATGCAGTCTGCTTTGCCCTGTCTTTGCAGCATGTGTGCTGGAATTTCCGGCCTTCCTAAGTGAGTCTTTGGAAGTCCTTTGCCTGAACGACAACCACCTCGATGCAGTCCCTCCCTCGGTTTGCCTACTGAAGAGCTTATCAGAGCTCTACTTGGGAAAGTAAGTACACATCTGGAGGGGCCGTGCTGGCTCTGCTGGCCCAGAGAGGCAGAACACCCATCCCTAAACCAACTGGGACACAGAAAGCCAGGCAGAAAGAAGCCATCTACTTTCCAAGAAGCAGTAGTAGGATTTTCAGAACAAGGCTTGATCAAGGAGGTGGGGAGAGAGGAAGATGGAGTAGCGATGCAATGATACACACTTTTGCTACATCACTTGGGCTGTGATAAGGAGAACCACTCAATCATTCATCCTTTCATTACTGAGCACCCATTGCATGCCAGCTACTGCCAGGGGTTCTAGGCAGTGTGCAAAGCTTGATGAGAATGTAAAACGTTATATTAATATTAAAGTGACATCGCCTTTTCAAGAAGAGGTAGTGATCATCTTTATGGTGATGTAATTAGTAGCAGAGACAGGAAAGCTGGGGGAGGGGACTCAATTCTAAGCCATGGGGATTTGCAGAAGACAGAGCTGCCCTTTCTACCACTGATGCTCCAGGAGAAAGGCTTTGGAATTAGTGTTGAAATCAGGGCCCAAAGTATGGGGTCTGGGATGCAGGCTGCAGAGGCTGACAGGAGCCACGTGTGTGTGTGTGTGCGTGTGTGTGTATGTGTGTGTATGTATTATCTCGTGGTGAGCACATCTGTCTTCAGCAACCCTGGCCTCCGGGAGCTCCCTCCTGAGCTGGGGCAGCTGAGCAACCTCTGGCAGCTGGACACTGAAGACCTGACCATCAGCAATGTGCCTGCAGAAATCCGAAAAGAAGGTAGGGCTTCCGCAGCCCTGTCCCCTGCCATCACCTGCTTGGAAAGGCAACTCCAGTCCACTTGTTAAGTTCTGGGGGTGGAAATAGTTGGTGACCCATGGAGCCCAGCTCCAGGTTCCAGGTTTGGCAAGATGCTATAAAATTGCCCCTAAAGCAATCGTTACTGAGGGTCACTATATTGAGAAGGACCAGGTGATAAAACTGTGACCTCCTAGGCAGCAAGGTCTTTGTCCATAGGTTCTTGCCTTTTAGAGTTGACTTTTGGGGTCATTAGTGTCACGCCTTCCCTCCACCTGATCCAGTAGTCTTCCTTAACTGTCCCCACTAAAACACAAAGAAAGAGTTCCTTCACAACAGGATTTGTGTCCTAAGAGATGTAAGCATGTTCCCACACAGCTACCCTTCCCCGTAATGATTCTGCACAGGTCCCAAAGCAATGCTGTGTTACCTGCGTGCTCAGCTGCGGAAAGCGGAGAAGTGCAAGCTGATGAAGATGATCATCGTGGGCCCCCCGCGCCAGGGCAAGTCCACCCTCCTGGAGATCTTACAGACGGGGAGGGCCCCCCAGGTGGTGCACGGAGAGGCCACCATCAGGACCACCAAGTGGGAGCTCCAGAGGCCGGCTGGCTCGAGAGCCAAGGTCAAGGATGGTCGGCGTGCAGACTCCCTGTGGGTGGGAGGGACACCCCTTGGACTCCTTCTCCCTTCTCCCCAGAGAGCCCAGGATTTTCTTGGCCTAGTGTCCAAAGCTCAGGACCTTTGCAGGAGTCACTGTGTACTGTTCCATACCAGCTTCTGCCAAGAGCAGCTTATCATTTCTTAATGTCACCTTGTGGTTTTTTCTTTTTCTTTTCTTTTCTTTTTTTTTTTTTGAGACAGGGTTTCACTCTGTCACTCAGGCTGGATGCATCCTCAACCTCCCCTCAAGTAACTATAACAGGGTGGGAGGATTAAGCGATCCTCCCACCCTGTGTGTTTCTGTTATATTTACTTGAGGCTCTGGGACAGTGTTTCTTAACCCTGGCTGTCCGTTAGATTCCCTTGAGAGGCTTTTAAAGATAGCAATTCCCAGGCCTCACCTCACTGCTCTCTGACCCCAAGGATTCAAATTCAAGTGGTCTGGGGTAAGGCACCCCCAGGACTGAGAGCTAACCACTGTTGCAGGCAGTGAAACACACCAGCATCTGCCCGCCCCCCGCCCTGCACCCCGAGGAGGCTAAAAGCACTCCGGGACTTACTGCCCTGCCCTCCCTGACACCTGCTTTCACCCCAGATTCTGAAAAGTCCTGTTTCTAAGCCCTACTTAAAATGAACCCATCACTGCTTGAACCCAGGAGGTAGAGGTTGCAGTGGGCCAAGATCATGCCACTGCACTCCAGCCTGGTGACAGAGCAAGACTCCGTTCCAAAAAAAAAAAAAAAATTGAATCCATCCATAAACCTCTTAATCATCCTGCTTTCCACTCAGTGCCAGGCAAATGGAAATGAACATTTTCCTGTTCATGAAACAGAGAAAAGAGCCCACAGACTATTGGTGGGAACTCCATCCTTGGAATAGAGCAGGGGCAGTTAGCCCTTTCTCTGAGCTCGGGGAACGAACACACATAGATAAGGCCATCCTCATCAACTGTATTTGGATTTCTGCCACCCTGTGGTTTCTCAGGATCCAAGGAGCAAGGAGGCTGCTTCATTGTGGAAAACTGAGGAGGCTTGAGATCCAGATGTTCCATGATTTTCCCCCAAAGCTCCCATGCGCAGTGCCAGCGTCTTCCTCACACAACCCCTTTCCAAACCTGGTTTGAGAAAGTAGGCATTTAAGCTGTGCATCTATTCTAACATGGACTCAGACGTTGATCCTCTAAAGGATGAAGCGCTGCCTGTTGGGGCCAGAACAGTCAAACACGACAATCAATGCCAGGCCAATCCTAGAACATTCCAAGAGCAAATCTAGCTGACTCAGTCTGAAGGTTCTCTCCAGGAACCAGAATCCTCTGCATTCTCTCCTGCTTTGCCTTTTTCTTAACAATTACGCAATCTCATTTCTTGTCTTAGCTTCCTCTAGCTGAGGCCTGAGAGGTGAATTCATGCTTCTATTTTTCCTGACCTTCAGCCCCCACTTCCTTTCTGTGATGATTAAAGGTCCCCCACCCTTTAGTGGAAGGATGATCCTGTGAAGGCTGAGCCCGCAGCTCTCTGCGTGGCCGGCCTTAGCTTGTTGAGAACAGCTGTTTTCATCTTTATACAAAACCAGGTCAGCACGCTGTGTCTTGGAGGCTGACGCTGCCTCACAGAGATGACTCCTTGCTGTAGAAAACTGCAGCCTTAGCTTCCAGGGCCAGACTCTTACCTCATGCAATGATAGAGAAACCACCGTTTACACAGCCGTTCCCGGCAGCCTGACAGCTCATCTTTTGTTTGATTCCCACAGGGTGGGAGGGAGTTTCCCAGCATCCTTGGTGGGCGCCAACCTCTGACCCCCACAAGTTCAGAGGCCCATCTCCTCCTCTTGCCCTGGCACACAGGGAGGCTGAACCCCAGTGCAAGCCATGACATCAGAGCACAGCTTCCTCCCACAGGGCATCCCCTACCCATCTGCAGGCCAGACGGAGCCAGGCCCTCTGACGTCTGTCCAGGGCCTGGCCTCTGCTCTGCTAGGAGTAGACAGAAGTCCCACTCCCATGCCACTGGGCCCCTGTCCCTCGCCCCGATAACTGCTTCCTAAGAAACTATAGGGTGTCCAGAACTTTTCCACGGTTGTTTTTTTTTTCAGACCCCCAAGTACAGCTTCCAGAGTTATCAGTTGTCTCTCTTTGATTGACTGAAGCCTTTGTCTCTAAAATGCCTCCCTGTCACTGCCCTGTTGCTCAAGTAGGTTGAGTCTGTGGAGTTCAACGTCTGGGACATCGGGGGACCGGCCAGCATGGCCACTGTCAACCAGTGCTTCTTCACAGACAAGGCCCTGTACGTGGTGGTCTGGAACCTGGCACTGGGGGAGGAGGCCGTGGCCAACCTCCAGTTCTGGCTGCTCAACATCGAGGTGAGGACACCAGACGCCAGCCCCGCCATTTCAGTTCCCAGAGCTTCGCGGATCTGACTGCTTTTCTCAAGCATCCCCTCTACTGAGAAAAAAAGGAGCTATGTTCCACGGAGGTCCCCAGAACCGTGGTCCTGCTTGCTTTTCGCAATGAGGCACTTGAAACCTTTCTCTGCTGAGGGCTGGTGGCGCTCTTGTAATTTCCCTGCTTTCCTTAAATTTAGGAACCCCCACCCTTGGATCCAAAGGGGAGCAGGGTTCTCTTCCCATTATAAAGATGTCCTTGTCTCCCTGCCTCTGATGGCTGCTGTCATGTGTGAAGGGTCGGAAATCCCTTCTCACAAGTCCAACTCAGCACCCTCTGCAGAGGAGGTCACAGAACACCATAGACACCCCTCAATGCAACAGTCCCTCGGGGTTTACAGAGAATGAGGAGCACAGGTGCTGCCTGGGCTGACATTCCTATAGCAGTCTGTTTTGCATTACTATAAAGGAATGACTGAGACTGAGTAATTTATGAAGAAAAGAGGTTTATTTGGCTCACAGTTCCACAGACTATACAAGCATGGTTTCAGCATCCGCTTGGCTTTTGGTTAGGCCTCAGGAAGTTTTTAGTCATGGCAGAAGAGAAGGAGAGCCAGCATGTTACATGGTGAGAGAGGGAGCAGGAGAGAGAGGAGGAAGAGCCAGGCTCCTTTTCACAATCAGCTTCTCTGTGAACTGACATAGGGTGAATGCATTCATTACTGCAGGAGGGCACTAAGCCATTCATGAGGGATCTACCTCCATGACCCAACCTCCCATCAGGCCTCACCTCCAACACTGGGGATCACATTTCAACATAAGATTTGGAGGAGAAAAACATCCAAACCATCTCAAGGCTGCAGATTGGTGGCTGAGCAAGGGCTGTGGCATCCAGGGTCAGCACAGCTGGGAGCTCTGTCCTGTCCCTTGTTCAGTGAACAGAGACGATACTCAGCCGTGGGGTTCTCTGTTGCAGGCCAAGGCCCCAAATGCCGTGGTGCTGGTGGTCGGGACACACCTGGATTTAATTGAAGCCAAGTTCCGTGTGGAAAGGATTGCAACGCTGCGTGCCTATGTGCTGGCGCTCTGCCGCTCCCCCTCCGGCTCCAGGGCCACAGGCTTCCCAGACATCACCTTCAAACACTTACAGTGAGTGCCCAGCCTCTAGCAGCTCCCGCCTTCATGTGGGTGCCAGTCGCTGATCTTTCCTGGGATCTGCTTACAGAGAGCTCCTGAGGCTGGGTGGGGCTAGGCCCCTTCCCTGGCCAAGGGGGGCAGTCCACAGAGCTGACCCAGCCTTGGAGAGGGTGAAGACCTACCAGACGGCTGGCTGGGTGAGGCCTGGAGATGCCCCCTCTTTGCTTCCTTTCTGCCCTGTCCCCGCCCCAAGGGCCAGTGCTGAAACTGCATGGTGCCCATTGAACAAGGTGACTGAACATGGGCACCACCCATCCAATTGCTGCCCATCTCATTTTTTGATCACTGATCAAGGACAGACCCTGGGGAGGGAGGACCTAGCCCTTGCCTTTGGTCTGAGTGGTCCTGATAGCAGCCTTTGAGTTAAAAAAGGCCAAGAGTTGGGAGGGGCTTTCGGGTGGGCATCACGACGTGTCCATGCAGATAAGTTCAATTGCCCTGGGCTGACCTCCTGTCACTGGTTGTGGGGATTGTTTGCCACCTTGTAGATGAAGAAGCTGAGGTTCAGCAAATTGTGTGCCCTAATGGGGGTAAAATATACTGCACATTGCATTAGCTGCCCTGGCGGCTCTCAGATTCCCTCGCCCGGGGTGGAGCGTCACGGGTATTGGTGCGTGGGTCAGCCTGGGACACATTGGCCTGGCTCGGAATACGGGATGAGGCTGTCAGGAATTATTGCTTTGACCTTGAGAAAGTCCCATAGGGTCTGTGATAAGAGGAGCCCTGGCTCTGGGTCAGAACCTGAGACCAGCCTGCGTGAGCCTGTGCCTGCCCAGCTTGTGCCCTTGGGGGTCTCAATATACCTCTGCACCTCACTTTCCTTCTCTGTGAAGTGCCATGTTTAGTCTAGGAAGACAGACTAAAGCGACAGTGTGGGGCACCTAGCACAGTGATTTGCACGAAGCAAGGCCTCAGTAAACTTCTTGTGTTGTCTTTCATGAGTTCTCCAGACTTGCCAGCATTCAGGACAAACCTCTTGGGAAAACAGAGAAGCTGCAGCACTTCCTCGGACTGGGGCACGATGAGTAAAGACGGGTCTTTTTGCACACAGTGAGATTTCCTGCAAGAGCCTGGAAGGCCAGGAAGGGCTGCGGCAGCTGATCTTCCACGTCACGTGCAGCATGAAGGACGTGGGCAGCACCATCGGCTGCCAGCGACTGGCAGGGAGGCTGGTGGGTACCTCGCTCATCCAGCTTAAACCAGTAGGCCTACTTCCCATTGTTGGGTATCCTCACTTCCCCTCTCTTCTGTGAAGCCCATGTCCATGTGGCAAGGCTCAGTGGTTCCTGGTGAGGGAGGATCAGGATGGAAGATAGTGGGTGGAAATGTCCCACCCATTTAGGCCACAGGGGCCAGGCAGGATCTGCCCCAGCTGGTGGGCATGCCTCGGGACTTGCCTCGTCCATCTGTCCCCCAGATCCCCAGGAGCTACCTGAGTCTGCAGGAGGCCGTGCTGGCAGAGCAGCAGCGCCGCAGCCTGGACGACGACGTGCAGTACCTGACGGACAGGCAGCTGGAGCAGCTGGTGGAGCAGACGCCCGACAATGACATCAAAGACTACGAGGACCTGCAGTCGGGTGGGTGGGGCTGGGGTGGGCGGCAGGGTGCCCATGAGAAATGCAACTATCTGTACTTCAGCTTGGCCCTCAGCAATGAATGAGAGACCAATAATCAGCCCGTGTTTCTGTCTTCCATCCCCCTCCCCTTCCTTCTTCCCTCTCACCCTTCTTTCCTTGGAGGTAGAGAACACAAACAGCTACTTTACACCAGCATTGTGTTGGCCACAAGGGCAGACATATAAACTGATGGACAGGTCCATGCCCTCCAGGGCTGACGTTCAGTCAGGGAGACAGAGGTCAAACAGTTACAATCGATTCTCATTAGCCACAGGACTTATGTTCTGTAAAGTTACCATGATCACTGAAATAGCAAATACTAAACCAGTGCTCCTAGGAGAGACGCAGGGTTCAGCTCCTGCAAGCCTCTGGTCAGAACATTCTCATCGGCCCATCAATACAGAACCTTGTTTTATGTGTGTTGCTGCTTAAAGATACTGTACTTAATATATATTGTTGATTTGTTGGCATTGAACTCATGGTTAACAGTACTGTTGCTCATTCCTGAACAAAACTTATCTAACACACAGGTTTTCTCCATAAGGCACATCGCAGCCTTCTCACGCTTAGGGAACTACACAGCGCTTCAGCACTTCACTTGGGACCATTTTAAACAGTGAAAGCATCAACAGAAAGCACAGAAATTCAAAAAACATGGCACTGACATAGACCACTAAGCAGGCCCCTGTTTTCAGCACGAGAGTTGAGAGTGTTGCCCTGTTCAGCCTCCGCTGGGAATGTGCACATTGGTCAATGCAAACTTTTCACCACTCAGCACATGACTGCAAATAACCACAGGAGCGTTGATTTGGGGGTCGCAGATAAATTTTAGTAAGAAGGCAAATTTGCAAAGGCGGAATCCACAAATAATGAGGATCAACTGTAGTTACCGAGGTGGCCATTAGCCTAGGACTTTGGCAAGAGTTACCAGGGGCCACCAGGGCACCTGTGATCAGGCTGCCAACCCGCCTGAAGGGTCCAGCATGTGGGGCATGTTGGTTTCTTCCTAGGAAGAATTTGTGACCTGGGTCCCCTTGGAAAGAAGGCCACCCCAGAGTCCCTTTCGCTCCTTTGTCTAACTACTGCTTTCTCCTCTCCTTGCCTGGGGCAGCTATCAGCTTCCTCATAGAAACTGGCACCCTGCTACACTTCCCAGACACCAGCCACGGCCTGAGGAACCTCTACTTCCTCGACCCTATTTGGCTGTCCGAATGTCTGCAGAGGATCTTTAACATTAAGGGCTCCCGGTCAGTGGCCAAGAATGGGGTGATCAGAGCAGAAGACCTCAGGATGCTGCTGGTGGGGACTGGCTTCACACAGCAGACGGAAGAGCAGTACTTCCAGTTCCTGGCCAAGTTTGAGATCGCCCTGCCCGTCGCCAATGACAGGTGAGGATACAACTTACCATGCCAGGCTGTGCAGGTTGCTCCCCGAAAGAGGGATTTGGGGTCTGGAGCCATTGGTGGCCTGAACAAGATTTCCAGGGATCAGTGCTGCCACTGCTGCCCCCTAGGGACAGGCCAGCACCTGATGACCTGCCTGCCTGGCCTGGGTCAGCGGGACAGTGAGCACGGCTGGCCACTCCCTCCTGTGCCCCGGGTTTCTCTGTTCAGGGAGTTAAAAGAAATCCACTTATTGAAAAAGTGTAGGAAAACGTGAAAGGATGTCATTAAAAATAATTTGTGGGAATTTCACTTTACAGAGGCTTGATTGCTTGGTTATTTGGTAAATGAGAGTGAGTGGCCAGTTAGGTGGCTCACACCTGTAATCCAAACTCCTTGGGAGGCCGAGGCGGCCAGATCAATTGAGGTCAGGAGTTCAAGACCAGCCTGACCAACATGGTGAAACCCCGTTTCTACTAAAAATACAAAAATCAGCCAGGCGTGGCGGTGTGTGCCTGTAATCCCAGCTACTTGGGAGACTGAAGCAGGAGAATTGCTTGAACCCAGGAGGCAGAGGTTGCAGTGAACAGAGATCACACCTCTGCACTCCAGCCTGGGCAACAGAGCGAGACTCCTCAAAAAAAAAAAAAAAAAAAAAAAGAGTGACTGACTAGGATGTACGTGCTAATTACACAGCCCAGTTCAAAATGCAGTCCAACATGATTAAATCATGAGAGCAACATGATCAACTACTCCAGGGTGGATGGTCCGAGGGTCAAATAGAGGCACTCCATATAGTAGCTAATCATCGCCTCTTTCTGTGGACTTCTCCTGGATCTTTAACATACCCAGGTCTCCCCTGTCCTAAACTGCAAACAAAACAAATGAGCCTCTCTCCTCCTTTTCTTCCTTTCCTTGCTCCCCAGCATCTGCTGCTCCTCATCACCTTGTGCTGGTGGCCAGGCAGCCCTAGGTGCCCCCAGGTACCCCTCCTGTCCTCTGCTGACCCTGCCCCAAGTACTGACCTTCCCCTCTGGAGGGCCTTCTCCATGAGGGCACCCTGCCACCCTCCCTTCCAGCCTCCAGTGTCCTCAGCAGGCCCCTCCCCTGCACTTTGCCCAAGCCATCAATTCAGCTGCCTTGGTCCTCCATGCCCCAAAGGAAGAATCCCCAGATTTTCAGCAGGGCCCAGCATCCAGAGGTCTGGGCTTCCAAATTGCTCCTACCTGGAAATCTGGCATGGCGACTGACGCCTCATGTCTGAGACACCTGCCTTCTCTCCTCTGCTGTCTGGTCCCACCAATCACCTTCCCCCACCCCCCACCCATGGAACTATGCTCAGGGAGTAGCACTCTAGGCTCAAAATTCCTCCCTGTATCCGTGAAACCCACTCCTCACCCCACCTGCCATGATATGGCCCTGTCATCTCCCAGTGAAACAATTCTGTTGACTGGCCCTTTCCTCCTGGTGCCACCCACACCTGCTTCTGTTTTTGTTTGTTTGTTTACAGTTTTAGAGATTTTTTCCCATACGTTATTGGGGCACAGTTGGTATTTGGTTACTAAGTCCTTTAGTGGTGATTTGTGAGATTTTGGTGCACCCATCACCCGAGCAGTATACACTACACCCTATTTGTGGTCTTTTATCCCTTGCCCACCTCCCACTCTTCCCCACAAGTTCCCAAAGTCCATTGTATCATTCTTATGTCTTTGCATCCTCACAGCTTAGCTCCCACATATCAGTGAGAACATATGATGTTTGGTTTTCCGTTCCTGAGTTACTTCACTTAGAAGAGTCTCCAATTTCATCCAGGTCACTGCAAATGCTGTTAATTCATTCCTTTTTATGGCTGAGTAGTGTTTCGTCATAGGTAAAGTTTACTTACAGTGAAATGCCCAGATCACTAGTATTCAAAACAATGACTTTTGACAAATGCATACAACTGTGCAACCAGCACCCGCCTCAAGATACAGAATGTTCCTGTCATACTGGAAGTCCCCCCACACTCCCTTCCAGTCATTTCCCATCCATATCAGCACCAGCACTCTGATTTCTAGCACCAGAGCCTAGTGTTTCCTGTTCTTGAACTTCTCAACTGCACAGAGTCACACGGTATGGTCTCTAATTGGCTTCTCCCACTAAACATCATGCATTTGAGATCCATCCATGCGGTTGTGTGTATCAGGGGTTTTTCTTTCTGTTACTGAGTAGCATTCCATTGTATGGCTTTACCACAACTTGTTTATTCACTTACCTGTTGATAGACATTTGGATGGTTTCCAGCTTTGGGCTGTTATGAATAACACTGCTGTAAACTGTCTTAAGTCTTTTTGTAGACACATGTTTTCATTTCTCTTGGGTCAAAACTAGGAGCAGAATTGCTGGGTCATGGAGTGTAAGTTTAATTTTATGAGAAATCACCAGGCTGTCCCCCAAGAGATTGTATGCTCCTCCAAGAGACTGTACACTCCATTTCCTCCCCAATATTTGTTGTCTGTAGCTCTTTCTGATTTTAGCTATTCCAGTGAATGTGAACTTGTATTTGACTGTGGCTTTACATTTTCTTCATGACTAATGAGGTCGAACACCTTTCATGAGCTTATTGGCCATTGCCATATCTTCTTTTGTGAAGTGTCTATTCAAGTTTTATGCCTATTTTAGGATTAGAATGTTTTCCTTTTGGGTACTGATATGTACTTCTTTATATCTTCTGGATACAAGTTATTTCTCAGATATATGATTTGCAAATATTTTCTCCCAGTCTGTGACTTGCTTTTTTTATATTAATGAAGTCTAACTTTTTAATTTTGTGATTATTGCTTTTTGTGTCATCTTTAAGAAATATTTGCTTATACTATGATCTTGACAATCTTTCTATATTTTTCTTCTAGAAGGTTTGTAGTTTAGCTTTTACTTCCAGGTCTATAATCCATGTCAAATTAATTTCTGTATATGGGGACAAGTAGGGGTTGAGGTCCATTTTTTCCTGTATATTATCCCATTGCTCCAGAACCATTTGTTGAAAAGACTTTCCTTTCCCCCATTGAATTACCTTGATTTCTTTATCAAAAATCAGTTGTGTGGGCTTATTTCAGGACTCTATTTCGTTCCACTAATATATGTGCCTATCCTTATGCCAGTGCCAGACTCTACTGATTATTGTAGCTTTAGAGTAAGAACTCGAAATCAGGTTGCATGAACCTTTTGTATTAGTTTCCTGTGATTGCTGTAAGATACCATGAATGTGGCATCTTAAAACAACACACATTTTTTCCCTTACAGTTCTGGTGGCCAGAAGTCCAAAATAAGTTTCCCTAGTCCAAAGTCAAGGGGTCAGCAGGATCATGCTGCCTTTGGAGGCTCTAGAAGAAAATCCATTTTCTTATCTTTTCCAGTCTCTAGAGCTGCATTTCTTAGCTCACATTTCTTTTATCGATATGTAATATTTTACACATTTATGGGGTACATGTGAGTTGTTTATACATGCATAGAATGTGGAATGATCAAGTATTTGATCATTTGGGGTATTTGGGGTATTCAGCACCTTGAGTATTTATCCTTTCTATGTGTTGGTATCATTTCAAGACCTGGCTTCTAACTACTTTGAAATATACAATATATTCTTGCTAACTATAGTCACCCTAGTCTGCTATTGGCCATTAGAACTTACTTCTAACCGTACGTCTGTACCCATTCACCAACCTCTCTTCATCTCTCCCTCCCACTCTCACACCCTTCCTAGCTTCTGGTATCTGTCATTCTGTTTTCTATCTTCATGAGATCAGGCTTTTTAGCTCCCACATGCGAGTGGGAGCATGCAGCATTTGTCTTTCTTTGCCTGGTTTATTTCATTTAATGTAATGACTTCCAGTTTCATCCATGTTGCTGCAAATGACATGATTTCATTCTTTTTTATGGCCAAGTAGTATTCCATTGTGTATATGGATCTTTCTTTATCTATTTGTCCATTGATGGACACTTAGGTTGGTTCCTTATCTTTGCTATTGTGAATAGTGCTGCAATAGATAAGGGAATCCAGGTATCCCTTTAATACCTGATTTCTTTTCCTTTGTATAAATATCCACTACTGGGATGGCTGGATTTTATGGTAATTCTATTTTTAGTTTTTTGAGAAATCACCATACTGTTTTTCACAGTGGCTGTACTAATTTACATTATAGCCAACAGCATATAAGAGTTTTCTTTTCTCTGCATCCTCACCAGCATCTGTTATTTTTTGGTTTTCTAATAGTAGCCATTCAACTGGGGTTATATGATATCTCGTTATGCTTTTGATTTGCATTTCCCTGATGATTTGTGGTGTTGAGCATTTTTCATATACCTGTTGGCCATTCATATGTCTTCTTTTGAAAAACATCTATTCATATTCTTTGCCCTGTTTAATGAGATTAATTGGGTTTTATTGAGTTGTTTGAATTTCTTGTAAATTGTGGATATTAGTTCCTTGTTGGATGAATACTTTGCAAATATTTTCTCTCATTCAATAGGTCTCTTCACTCTGCTCCTTGTTTCCTATGCAGTGAAGAAGCCATTTCGTTTAACATAGTACCATTTGTCTATTTTTGTTTTAGTCATTTGTGTTTTCGAGGTCTTAGCCATAAAACCTTTGCCTAGACCAATGTCCTAAAGTGCTTTCCCTGTTTTCTTCTAGTAGTTTATAGTTTTGGGTCTTAAATTTAAGTCTTTAATCCGTTTTGAGTTAATTTTTGTATGTGGTGAGAGATAGCGGTCTAGTTCCATTCTTCTCCTTATGGATATCCAATTTTCCCAGCACCATTTATTGAAGAGGTTATATTTTCTCCACTGTATGTTCTTGGCACCTTTGTTGAGAATCAGTTGACTGTAAATATGTGGATTTATTTCTGGGTTCTCTATTTTGTTCCATGAGTCTATGTGTCTATTTTTATACTGATATCATGCTGTTTCGGTTACTATAGCTTTGTAGTATATTTTGAAGTCAGATAGTATGATTCCTCCAGCTTTGT